TGCCACATGCGTAAAGGAAGCACTGCTTTACGCTTCCACTGAGAAGAAGAGAGCAAGCAAAATGGCGACACATTAAAAATAGTGGGGTGGAAAACAAGCTCCTCTAATCCCATCTTGCTTCTAGAAGAAGCATTTGACGCCATGCGTTCCAAATAAACATGTGGCATCACAAAAGTAGAATTAAATTAAGGTGAACTGCCTCACATATGCACTGAGGAAAACCAGAATAATTTATGAGGAAATAAATTCTAGCACCAAGGGAATGGTGGACAGAGGGCCGAAATTAACTGGTTCCACCTCCCGCTCAGCATTTGTTGCCAAGGCTATTAACAACACCACCGGCCCTAAGGAGACAATGTCTCAAAAGAGCAACGCGTGAAGCACCAGTGGGGTGTAAAACAACACTCCGTACTTCCCGCTTTCCTTCTACATCAGCCTTTACCACCATGATGCCCAGGAGAGTAAACAATAATAACGCATTGATACACATAAACTGCATCCCATCTTTATAAACATGCACGCATATGTGCGCAAAGTAAACAAGCCAACCATTGTCATGACCCGGACTGGTGGAACGCACCCCTATGTGTTAAGCATGTTGCCAAAGCCGAGGTAAGGTGTCAAATTCCCCAAAGCCCGCGATTACCTAGCAGTTGCCACGCCACTACGGCTGAATTCGAGCGTAAAATTACGTTTGACCCCCGGCAATGGAGCCGTGACTACAGGCAGAAGATGAAGTCCCCAAAACCCACAATTATCTAGTAGTTACCGAGCCACTTCGAATAAAATAGGTGTGTCAATCATGCCACCACATTGTGTGCCTGCAAACCACACTCGCCATTCCAATATCAGGGTCTCGACGATAAACACCTCACAGAGTCAGCGCTAAGGTCAAGTGTTTCTGAAGGGAAGAAAGAAAACACTGGGAGTCCACACTCTACAACCAGCTGCGTAAAGGAAACACTGTGGTACAGAAACAAAGCAGAACAGCTCTAAACAAGGGGCGATGCGTTAGCAACAAGCACTAGTGGGGTGCAAAATATGCCATGCATACATAAAGCAAGGTGTGGTGACTAATATATTTTCTTATGAAAAATTACCCAAGACTCAAACCCACAATTTGACGAAGCAAATCGTACTAACGAGTAATCACAAATAAATCTGCCAATTTACTGCACATCAAAAGAACATTGAGGCATCTACAAAACAGTTGAACTGATATTCCAGTAGAGGCAGCAAAATTGTAGTCAATTGAAAGAATAACAGGCCAAACTTCCCAAATCAAAATAACTGTAACGCATAGAATGGAGCTGTAACGGTAAATGTCCTAAATTGACAAAAAATGAAGCATATAAACCCCGAGC